TGTCTCCCAGTGTCCCTTAGTGTCTCAGTGTCTGCCATAATGTCTCCCAATGTCCCTTAGTGTCTCTGTGTCTGCCATAATGTCTCCCAGTGTCCCTTAGTATCTCAGTGTCTGCCATAATGTCTCCCAGTGTCCCTTAGTGTCTCAGTGTCTGCCATAATGTTTCCCAATGTCCCTTAGTGTCTCAGTATCTGCCATAATGTCTCCCAGTGCCCCTTAGTGTCTCAGTGTATGTCTCCTTGCAGCCTTTCCCCATCCCTTACTTCCCTGAGCTGTAGGCTGTCTCTGCAGGGTGGGAGTTGCTGTCTGGACTCTCTGTAGCTGCACCCCTGCAGATCAGTGAGTATAGATAGGCAGGGAGGGATATGCTGGAACTTCCTATCCGTGCCTCTCTCCATACACAGTGACCTCTACTGGCCAGTGCTGGTATTGCAGAGTAATCTCTTGTTTATAATGAGAAAAATACCAGCATTTGTATTGCCAGTATCACTGCAATATTGGCACCAGCCAGGCAGCCTCAAATACTGGCTGTGCCAATAAAATAAAAGCCAGGTGGAATCCCTAAGAGTAGTGTGTGAAAAAAAAAAATGTAAAAAAAAAATATATATATATTTTTTTATAAATCAATGGGCCTATTCCATGGGCCTGGGCCTGGGCCTGGAGCTGCAGCTCCATCAGCCCCTATGTTAATCCGGCCCTGATTCAGATTATTGTCATTTACTGGATTTCTCTGTGGCACTAATTCTCTCACCTCTGGATTTAACATCATAGTTACATTGGCTGGAAAGAGAATGTCCATCAAGTTCAGCCTTCCTCACATCTGTTTTTCCTGTTGAGCCAAAAGAAGGCAAAAAAAAATAATAACAGTTTGTAGCACTTCCAAGTTTGCAACAAACTAGGACAGAAATTTGTTCTTGACCCCAGAATGGCAGTCAGATTTATCCTTGGATTAAGAAGCTATTACCCTACAGTTGAAAAATTATATAATTGAATATTATGTTTTTGCAAGTATGCATCTTGTTGCTGTTAAACATCTGTACAGACTCTGATAAAACTACTTCTTCAAGCAGAGAATTCCACAACCTTATTGTACTTTCTGTAAAAAAACTTTTTACATTGCCTTAGACTAAATCTTCTTTCTTCCAGTCTAAACGTATGACCTTGTGTCCTTTGTATAGTCCTGTTTGTGAATAGATTTCCTCACAATGGTTGGTATTGGCCCCGAATAAATATGTATAGTGTTTTATCTCCTCCTAGGTGATGTTTTTCTAAACTAAAGAGGTTTAAATTTGTTAACCTTTCTTCATAGCTAAAATGTTCCATTCCTTTTATCAATCTTGTTGCCCGCTTCTGCACTTTTTCTAGTGTCATAATATTCTTCTTTAGAACAGGAGCCCAAAATTGCACAACATATTCAAGATGTGGTCTTACCAGTAATTTATAAAGAGGCAAAATTATATTCTTTTTTTAAAATGTATTATTAATTTTGCTGTGCATATGATTACAGAGAGGCTTGCGATGCCACGACAGTATTAGCAAGTAGTTTAACCTCTTAAGGACACAGGACATGTGTCATGATTTCCTTTTATTCCAGAAGTTTGGTCCTTAAGGGTTTAAAGACAACATAGTATGGCATGTACATGGCATATTCTGGATCTGAACATTTTTTGAAAATAATGACAGGCTAGGCACAAAAGGTACAATAACAAGTATGGCTACCCTGGCTGACTTGTAGTGAGGAAGAGTAGTACAATAACATATGTTGAATCTGAAATAAAGGGCAATTGCCTAAACTGAGTTAAATGCTGAAACATAGCTATTTGTGCCATTGGCTAGCGGTTAGCAATACATATTTTACCTTCTAGACATGTGGAGCGGTACTGAGAAATACCGTCGAATAGTACACTAAACTAATATGAGATAGCTGTCAGACAAAAACCCATGGTAGAGAGGTGTCAGAACATGTCAACGTATATTAATGGGTAGCGCATGCTGCACATCACACTGGTCTGGCTAGCAGGCACACCTTGCTTAGTTGACATGCAGGTTAGTATAGTCAAGCTTGTGCTGCCACAACAGCAATTGCAAGCATAGTAGCATACAGAGTGTGACGTTGGTATGGCTATTAAAGTAGACATGCACAGTTTTGTGGAAATATCCACAACAATTAACAAGCAAGGTATTCTCGTCTGGACCCCAATTTTATGGCGCTCAGTGTGTATTAAAGAAAAAAAAACTGGCGAATGGTTAACAAAATAAAAACTGTTAGAGGCACTGAAGCTCAGGTTCACTATGCACCTTATTGTAACATGTGGAGCCTAACCCAGTAATGCAAAGCAGAGAAACATGAAAGAGTAGCATGAGGAGTGTAGCAGATCAGGCTTAGAGAGACAGGGTGAGCTATAAAAAGCACTGTGCCATCTTCAGATTATGAGACAGTCCCATAGTGTAGACTGGAGTGCTGCCCATGCTGGCAATGCACCCTCAACCTATGCTGGCTGTTGACAGACACAAGACATGGATGTGAGGAGATTTCATTAGAGGGAGCGCAAAGGGTGGCATCCTTCCCGCCCCAGGCTAGTAACCAGTCCAGCATCTGTGATCTAGGCCTGGAACTGGGGGCTCAAAGAGTCCAAGTACGGTCCCATAGTGGAGAGACAGAAGGCCTAGACAGAAGGCCCAGACAGAAGGCCCAGCGGCTAATCTTACCTCCAGGGTGGCCCAAAAGCAGTCAAATATGTCGTCCAGTCACTGTAGGAACTTGTTCACAAAGTCAAGTTACTTCCTTCCAGCTACCTGCAGAGAGTGCTGCATGAGAGGGAGGAGGCAGCACAGCCAGTGGCTTAACTAGAAACCTCAAGGCCCCGGTGCAAGAATCTGTTAAAGGACCCCTGACACATATGCAGTTACATACATGGCAACACACAAACACTGACACGCATGCACAGATACACTGATACACACAAACACTGACACGCATGCACAGATACATACACTGACACACATAAACACTGACATATATTGACATACATGCAAAGATTCGCACACAGATATCCACATTTACTGATACATACACTGACACAGACAGACACTGACACACATGCAGAACTATACATGGAGACACACAATCACTGTCACACACGCACAGATATATACACTGACACACACACAAATACTGACATATACTGATCTAAAGGCAAAGATTCACACACAGATCGACATTTACCAATACATACACTGACACACACACAAACACTGACACACATGCACAAATACATAAACTGACACTCACAAACACTGACACACAAGTAGATACATATATTGACACACACACACTGACACACATGCAGATACATACACTGACACACACCGTAACACACTTGCACAGATACATACCCTGACAAACACGCACAGAGACTCTGCCTTGTTCTGCCAAATTTCTTTGTTGTGTCAGACATTGTCACAACCCAGATCCAAGTAACCCTGTCCCTTGCACCCACTGATCTCAGGAGGCCTCCTTTGTGCCCCTGCTCTGGTCTCCCATTGATGTGCCCCGGCACAGTGTGTCTCTGTGTTAGTCTATGGATGCCCCTGACATATAACTCTGTGTTTACCTTGTACAGAATGCCATAAGTGCCAGTGCCACTCTGGATGAGCTCCAAGTCCTCCTGTGGGTTCCTGCGGGACATGTCACAGTCTGTGCTTATGGGCCTGCACTGGGGTACCCTGACCCTGCTAACACTCACATCCGGGCAGAGGTGGCCCAAACCTGGCTATCTGTCACATCGGTGCAGAGGGCACTCGGACCCTGCTTACAGCCTGCTAACAGGCACCTGGAACACGGCACACAGGAGGAGGACCCGGATCTCTATCATGCACACAAAATGAATCTTCAGGGGTTGGCAGGGCGGCCGGGCCCCCTGGAGTGCTGAGCCAGGTCAAAGCTGCAACCTCTGCGACCCCTTAGTTCTGCCACAGGGCACCGGCAGAATGGGTTGAGAGGAGTAACTAGTGAGCTGCTCCAGATCCAACCCGACCAGGACCCCAAGCAAGCCATCCTTCTGGATACAAAAGTTAAGCTAACAGGAGGGTGGCTGCAAATATACAAATTATGAATTTATGTGTATGTCAGATTGTGTGTGTGTGCGCGTATCTGTGTTTGTGTATATATCTGTTTGTCAGGGTGTGCACCTGTGTGTGCATGTATCAGTGTTTGTGAATGTCAGAGTGTGTGTATCTGTGTATCATGGTGTATGCATGTGTCAAGGTGTGTGCATGTGTCAGTGTAATTATATGTATCTGTGTGTTAATGTGTATGTATCTCTGTGTAAGTATGTATGTATTTGCATATATCCAAACAGTTAAACACCAGCACAACATGCAAACACACTCCTGCAATCTAACACAAATATTACATACAAACACACTACATTGCACGTAAATTAAAAATTCACTATGAAATCTTACTTTAGTGAATAACCCTGTTAATATACAACTGACCACCAACACATTTTTAACAAATGGATTTCCCCAGGTTGTTTCCAGAAATCAAGTATTTGGTTGCAAAATTCAAGCATGCTGAGAGGCTATTCAGACAAGTTACAATCCAGAATGCATTTACACCAATTTGGATCTGTGTTACTAAATAGATCGGACATAGATAAATGTTGTAAATTATGTTTGGATTTTTGCTTCCAAATGCCTCTAGATTGTCCCTGATCATTTTTGGAATCTGGAATAGATCTATGCTCTAATGCAAGGCTCCCCAATTGGTAGATCCTCAGATGTTTTAAAACTATAACTTCCATGATGCTTTGTCATTCTAAAAGCATGCAAATGTAGTTCTACAACATCTGGGTATCTACCTTTCTGGGCACTCCTGCTCAAGCGAATAACCTTTCACACTGGTATATTTGCATGCCTCACACAAAAAAAAAAAAACAGCAAAAAAAAAAAACAACAAAACATAACGCAATATATGGTTGAGTGCAATCTTTACTGGATTAATGAACAGTCTTGGCTTGGCTTGTTTATTTTTCTTGGGTTTTAGGCATTCCATGTTCTTATGCATTCTTGACTGCTCCACAAGTTGACAATCTAGGTGTTCATGCACAGTCTCCCTATGACTGGAAAGATGAGTGTGGCTAGCTTACAGGTATCTTCAGTGCTGGTTATTTACGGTGTACAATCCATCCTGAATTATGGGTTTCTCTGGGACATCGGCATGTGCCGCATGGATGATGATGTTGATCATGATGATCATGATGGTGGTCAGTGGAAGATGTACACGTTGCATGGGTAATAATGGTCCTTGGAAGTCTACAGATGTGACAGTGAGTTGGGTAAGTGTGGCAATGGTGAACAGGTGTGTCACATTGAATGGTTTTACACACTCTACTGTGGCAATGAAATGGTTGAGCGCAAGGATGGCAACCGTAAGTGCAACTATGACTGCAACCATGACTGCAACCATTACTACAACCATGACTGCAACCATGACCATGACCGTGACCATGACCGTGACCATGAACGTGACCGTGAACATGACCGTGAACATGACCGTGACCATGACCGTGACCATGACTATGGCCATGACCATGACCATGACCATGACCATGACCATGAGGGGAACATACTGAGGAAGTGTGAATGTGATGCGGGCTGCAGGCACCAGCAAAAGATTCATGACAACATGTATGTGTTTGACAGCACAGCTGGTGGCATGAATCACAAATTGGGTGGGGCCACAGAGATTCATAGAGAATCAAAGGTCCAGTGTGTTGGTGTGTATGTGCATGTTTGTGTGGTGAGCCAAACCAGCAGTGATCATCACAGTGCTTATTTAATGAATAATGAATGTAGCCACTGGAATGTGTCTTGAATCCACAACCACACCTTGCACAACAAGAAGGTAGATGTCTCATATGTCCAGACTGTGCTATGGCATTGAGATGGCCGCAGATAGACATTTTGTTTTCGGCTGTTCAAACTAGCTGAGATGCTGCAGGTGCTAGTATAGACTTGTGATGACTTGCAGTCTATGTTGTGTAGGAGATCTGAAGGAGACTGAGTGAGCACAAGATGGTCTTTTGGTGACAGCCTTGTGATGGAAAACTTATCTCATTGAGTGTTCTTGGTGTGCTGTAACAAAAAAAATTAAATAAATAGTACTTATTAAAAAATATATTTTTAAGGACAGTGTTAAATGAAAACAGACAACAAGAAATAGCAGCTAACTCAAAAGCAGAAGATGGAAGGTTTATTCACTAAACCATACATCAGGGGTAGGCAACCTTCGGCACTCCAGATGTTGTGGACTACATCTCCCATAATGCTTTTACACCCATAATGTTGGCAAAGCATCATGGGAGGTGTAGTCCAAAACATCTGGAGTGCTGAAGGATGCCTATGCCTGCCATACTTTTTGATGAATTGAACACATGTATTTAGCAATATTCCAGGTTTTCTAAAGTGTTTGTGATTATTATTGTAATTTAAGCACAATCCTTCTTTTAATGCCACAAAGTTTTCTTGTAGTCAGTGTTAATTTTGGCAGCAAATTTCAATCTAGTTTTAGTCATAGTCTTTTGACTAAAAAGCCATTTTAGTTTTAGTCGTATTTTAGTCATCTGAATTGTTTTAGTTCTAGTCTAGCATTAGAGGAATAAATCTGCAGTAGATTTTAGTCAACACAACTAAAATCTAATGGGTTTAGTTAAAGCCTCTATTTGTCTCTTTTGCTCTTTTCCCAGCCCCTCCATGTCACTTTGTGTCCTCACATCCCCTTTAGGTCTGTCTATTTTGCCCCTTTGACAACAGTCCCTCTGTGCAGTGTTAATTTTGGCGGCAAATTTCAATTTAGTTTTAGTCATTGTCTTTTGACTAAAATGCCATTTTAGTTGTAGTTGTATTTTAGTCATCTAAATTGTTTTAGTCGACTAAATTAACACTGCTTGTAGTAATTAAAAACTCAAAGTTGTTTGCTGAGATTTCTCCTAATAACTCATAGAGAGATAGAATCAGTCCCAGGTTTGCAATAAGGCCTCTGAGGACATGGCCTGGGTGGGCAGCTGATTCAGGGTTTGAACTGACAAATTCTGTTCCCCTTCAAGATCTCTTCTCTCTCCGCTTTAGGCTTTGATTGGAAATTCAACTCGGCCTGTCAAATGCTTTGGCCCTACTCCTCCCTGCTCCCAAATACTTTTCCCCACTTCCAACCAACCATCACACAAAATCACACATCACATTCAGCCAACCACAGATATACCCACCACACACACCAACATGCATATCACACATATAACATACTCAAACACATTCACTCAGAATAGCACTCTGCAAATAAGTGAGTTTTATTGACACACTTAAAGGGATCCTATAGTGCCAGGAAAACAAAGCCGTTTTCCTGGCACTATAGGTTTTTTAATGTCCCCCTACTCCCTTCAATGCTTTCCTATAGAGAAAATCTAACGCTTGAGGTCCTCATGCAGAGTGTGAGGACGTCCAGAGTCAGTTTGGATTCCGGAAGCCCTCTAGTGGCTGTCTGGTAAACAGCCACAGAGGGCAGACTTAGAGCTGCAATGTTTTATTTTGCAGCCCTAAGTGCAAAAGGGTCACAGCACACAGGCCACTTCAATTAGCTGAAGTGGGCTGGGTGCCTTCAGCGTCCATTTAAACACTACACATTTAGATGTATTACGAAGCAGCTCTTTGATACATGCCAACACTCTGCACGTTTGATTGGTGTAGAGCTGTGCGATACACACTTTTCATTACTACTGTGAGTTTGTTGATGTGGAGCACAGGGATAGATTTACACACTTTATTTTGTGAGTTTTATTGATGTGGAGCTCTGTGATACCCTAATACAAACCCATACATCACTATGAGTTTTTTTAAACTGATTTAAAAAAAAAATATGCTCAACTGATTAAAAGTTTTAGGCAGGATTTTTCTACTGTCCACACTTTTAAATTGCTCTTCTATGATCATCCCGAATCCCTTACTGCTTATCAATGACTGGCAAATCCTGTATTTATATATGTAAATATAAAGGTAGAGCAGGGGGTGCATTAAATAAACTGGCTTTTCAGAAAGCAGAAATGGTAAATCTGTCCCTGGATATAATAGCAGCATCCTGAGCATGACATTTGGATAAGACTAGGGGGAAAGGAAAAAAAAACTAAAGAAATATGCTGTTATTATTAGAGAACACATTGGTTTCCCATATATGTATACAGGGGCGTCCGCAGGAGGGGTCAAATACCAGCTTGTGCTGGGATTTTTCTTTTATATTTGAGAAGATTTACTAATATTCATATAAATAATTTTTCTTAATCCCCCCCCTAAAAAAGGTTAATTGTCGTATATAAACACATAATATTATATTGTTACAATTATATTACCATCACTGTTTTCATTCTTGTATATGTTATTTATGTTAACTGATATGTTTTGAGATATTCTTTGTCTTAACGATGTTGCATTGCATATATTGCTATAAAATATAAACATTTTCAATAAAAAAATATTTGAAAAGAAAAATAAATAAAGAATAAAATAAAATTGAGAATATACTGCAATACCGCACTGGCCAGTAGATGTACGGAGAAAGACAGGGATAGGAAGCTACATCTTATCCCTGCTTCTCTCTTGTGACTGAATCCACAGGGGAGCAGCACAGAGTGCAGCCAACAACTCAAAGCCTCCAGAGACAGCTTACAGATCAGGTAAGTGAGGGATGGGTGGGGCAGACTACAGATCAGGTAAGTGAGGAATGGGGGACAACCTACAGATCAGGTAAGTGAAGCATGGGGGGCAGCCTATATTTCAGGTAAGTGAGGGATGTGGGGCAGCCTACCAATCAGGTAAGTGAAGCATGGGGGGGCAGCCTACCAATCAGGTAAGTGAAACATGGAGGGGCAGCTTACAAATCAGGTAAGTGAGCCACGGGGAAAGGGCAGCATACAGATCAGGTATGTGAGGCATGGGGGGGCACAGCCTACAAATCAGGTAAGTAAGGCATGAGGGTGGGAAGACACCAGGCTCTGCTAAAAAATAAATCTCAATCTAATAACACATGGATTTAACGAGCTGATCATCACCTTCAGGATTATAGAAAATAATTCAGGACTTCATGTATGAAGTCAGAGTAGGAGGATGTAGTACCTAAAATGTAATTTTTTATTTTTTATTTTTTTTAAGTCAGATTCACTATTACCACATATGTGGACTATGATACCTTAGATAAAAGGGAAATGGATACAGTCACTAAAGGGTTAACTAGGTGCATTACTTCTGCCCACAGTGTGTTTGGGGGCTGCACAAAGCATAAAAAATATACCGGGAAAGGGCAGTATACCCTTTTCTAATCTCTAAAATGTCAGAAACTTGTTTTGCTCCTAGACTGCAGCTGTGAGTCACGAGAATCCTGTAGTCTTTCTAGCAGGTCCTATCAAACTTAGCTCTCTTATCCTAGCCTTTAAATCTTTTAGAACCATATCATAGTCTTTAAAAAAATGTCATATTGAACCTATTGCAGGGACTGGATCCTTGGTATTGCCAATGAATGAGGGAGGGCTGCTTGCTGTGTGTGTGTGTGTGTGTGTGTTTGTGTATGTATTCAGCAGTCTGTGTGTGTGTATTCAGCAGTGAGTGTATGTATTCATCAGTCTCTGCGTGTATTCATCAATCAGTGTGCGTGTATTCAGCAGTCTGTGTGTGTGTGTATTCAGCAGTGAATGTATGTATTCAGCAGTCTGTGTGTGTATTCAGCAGTCTGTGTGTGTATTCAATTTTGAGTGTATGTATTCAGCAGTCTCTGCCTGTATTCAGCAATCTGCATGTGTTTATTCAGCAGTCAGTGTGTATGTATTCAGCAGTCTGTGTGTGTGTATTTAGCCATCTGTATGCTTGGCAGTCTGCATGTGTATGTATTCCGCAGTCTGTGTGTATGTATTTAGCAGTCTAGGGGTGGGGAGCAGAACACAGAGGGAATGGAGAAGAAGACAATGACAAAGAGAGGGGCTGGGGAAAGAAACAATGACACACACTGAGGGGCTGGGAAGGGGATTGAGACACACAGAGAGGCTGGAGTAGAGGACAATTGCACACAAAGGAGCTGAGGATGGGGTGCAGGGACACACAGAGGGGCTGTGAAAGAGGTTAATGACACGTACTGAGGGGCTGGGAAGGGGACAGGGACACACAGAGGAGCTGGGGATGGGGACAGTGACACAGAGGGGCTTGGAAGAAGATCAAGAGACACAGGGGAACAGGGAAGGGGACAATGACACATAAAGGGGCTGGGGAAAGTAAGAGACACACAAAGGGGTGGGGGAAGTAAAACACACAAAGGGGACTGTAAGACACAAAGGGAAAAAATGGAGGATAAAGTAAACTAAGGGAGGTAGATACACTAAGAGGGGTAAGACATTCAAAAGATGGGATAAGGGGGCGGGGCTTGACTGGCTAGCCGAACAGACGCATGTTGCACAAGCTCCTGAGCCCGACAAGCTAAAATTATCTCTACATGAAATCAAGCAATGGAATAAACCGCAAAACTCACAGGCTGCAGAGAGGGGATCGCAGGGATCTGAGTGATACCAAACTCTGAACCTCTCGGGTCCGGATCACCGGCCCTCAACCTTTTGCAGCCTACAAGCATATCAAGCGTAGGAGAGACGGCCGCTCTCCAGCGTCGACCGTCGCTAAATATGGCGTACTTATACCTCCCCTCAGATGCGACTAAATCTAATCTTTAACAGATTATGGGCAAAATTGGCAGCACGGCAACTGGGTCTG